GTATCTTTAAAATTTGCACCTAATTTATTAATAAAAGTTTATTGGAGCAAGACTCCGTTGGATTTAAAAAAAAAAAAAAAGTATATAATTGATAATGCGTTGTGCTTTATTAATTATTATTATTATTGACAAGAAGATATGTGAATTATACAATAGATGAATAATTTATTTTTTAATGATTAGATTGATTAATCTCGGAAAATTAAATAAATTTTTTTCCTTTAATCAATCTATTCACTCACAAAAATTCATGTGTTCAGACACTGCTCTAGTCACGGGTCATATAAACTCACCTTATTATGACAACTTGGTTAATAGATGAATAATATATCTGGTAAATTTTCATAATTTAATCATTCTTGATTCACATTCATGACCACTAATTTTGTTTATTAATTATAATGTAGTTCTAGAAATCTCATTTTGCATTGGAAACAGTTTAGTTGCTATGGCTGATTTCAAAATATCCATACATAAATTGTTTCTGCAACCAGAAGAAGAACTTATTGATCTTCGTTATTAACTTTTCAATATCTTTTATTTAATAAGTGAATAGTTAATTTGAAGGAACAAATATTTCGGCTAAATAATGATTGTTTGTGTTAAATAAATATATAAAGTCCTGGTTAGAATTTGTAATCCATTTTATTAAATAAAATTATCATATTATATATTGTTTCCTTCATTCATACAATCACGCTATACCAATATTTCTTTCATCATTCTATTAATTATAATTATAGTATGTATATACTCATCCGATAAAATAAAATTATATACAATTAATAATCCCATATCTGTTTAAATTATAAAATAAATTATTAAATATATGATATACATGACCATGAACTTTCATGAGGTACATTCACCTGTCAAAAGTATTGAACCACGTGAAAATTTTTAAAAAAAATTACTAAAATTTAAATGTCGATTGTGATACAATAAGTCATTTAAATTGAATAAACTTTTTTTATCCTTAATGATACATTCTGTGTCAAAATTTGAATGCTTATATGTGAAGAAATTACATTCAAAATAAAATTGACAAAAATAATAAATTCAATATTGACATTACCTATACTGAACTTCATGGATTTAAAAATACATGTCACTACCGTATATGCAATTGTAGTCAGAAATAATACCCATAATTTTAATTAGAAGTACATTTAATTATATCTAGTAAAAATTTACTTAGTTGCGAATAAAAATGGCTGAAATTTAATGAAAATAAAGAAAAAATCTGAAAATAGTTATCAATACAAAATTTTATTATTTTTTAATATAACAATGAAAGTGACACTAAGTGAATTTAAAGCCTATGTATAGAAAATCTTTTATAAAGTATTCAGACATATTTAAATAAAATTGAGCGAATAATTTTGAGCATCCAGCATTCAGACATTGATATCGAATTTAATTTCTAAGTAAAAAATATTAAAATTTACAGAAGATGCTTCACATCTTTGGTTATAAGTTTTAGTAGCATATTTGTTATTTTATTAGTAAAATCAATCTTTATATTTAATAATAATTTTTAAATTTTTCTTTAATATATAATGCCTTAGAAATTTGTGTGGACAAATTTATTGTCGATCATTTATCTTTGATATAAAAATAAGTACCAATCATTGTTACATACTAATTAAACTTATAGCCAAAGATTGTGTAACTTTTCAAACTTTTTACTTATGAATTAAATTTAGTATCAATGGTTGAATGCTGGATGTTCAAAAATTGGTCTCTGGAATTTAATCACTAATTATTCATTCAATTTTATTTAAAAATGTCTGAATACTTTAATAGTGCTCCATTAAGTTAGATCCCCGGATATGCAATATATTTGTATTGTTTAAGAGTGTAACACCATGATCTATTAGTCCATTAATACAGGAAACATTGACCAAGTTAAATTTATTGTGTCTAATTTAATCACGCTAAATAGATAATCATATCCTCCATAAATATATATTCTATCTCTCGAAACAATACATTTGGTAGCTTTTCGTTCTACAGCAGTAAAATTTCCTGACATTTTTGGTGTGTTGTAACATCTAATATAGAGTTAAAATTACCTCTCATTGCAATTGCTGATATAAAGAATTTGAGTATTATTTGTTCCATAGAAAGTTATGTTTATTCGGCCTGTAATTGAAGAAAGATCAGATTAAGGTATTGATGAAATGTCATTTATGGTAAAAGGTTTTGAAAAATCTAGATAGATAAAGTTACAAAACCACCATTCCATCCACTATTAAAATGAATCTTATTGTTAACTAGAACTGCAGCTTGGGGAAGGAACGAATGCATTTATACCACTAACAGGGACGACAAATAATAATCATTATCAAAATAGGTTTCATAATAATTTTACCATCGTTTAGCATATCTAAAAATGCAAACACAAAGCGAAAATTTTTTAGAGAACTAATAGGAGTTTTTATTGATCTTGTTTCATTACTAAAAATAAACATATCAAAAAATTCAAACCTCCTTCAAAGTACTATATTATACATAAACAGTTGTTACATGTCATCATCTATTTATGGATCTTAATCTCAAGAAAACTTTATGTTTCAAGATATTTATAAAAATTATACATATTTGTTAATGATTTAAAAAAGAAGAATACCTTTATTGCACTGTAATGATAAAGTATTTTATTAATATGCAATTTACTTACTCATAACTATTCACAATTTTATTTCATATCCTTTTCAATATGTATATAAATCTTCTAAAAGAATTTCCCAAAAATATAACAGTTATACCAACACAATTTCTCATTATTATTAATTTATTCAAATAAAGTTCCAGAAGTTTCCTTATTCCTGTTTTCGTTAGCTCATAACAAAATTTTAGAAATTACCAAATTCATATATAATCGGAATTGGGAATAAGTTCAAAAATCATTCAATTAATTAATTAATTAATTTCTTAAATATTTAGTTTTATCATGTTTGCTAATTAGCCACATTCCAAGTTTAAATGACATCAGGTATTTTAGAATTTAAATTTCTATTTCTTTAGTTTATTCTTTGGATATCTGGTTAATTATTTTATTTTATTTTAAGATTCTCAAGACAATTATTTTTTGTGAAATGAGAGGTTTTATTAAATATTTATTTCACTTCGGTGACGACTTTATTTTCACCTGAAATCATTTGACTTTAATTTACATTCACTCTCATGTTTTTATTTTTTTTTTTTTTTATATCTAATGGAGTCTTGCTCCAATAAACTTTATTAATAGATTAAGTGTAAATTTTAAAGATACAGATAATTTATTTTACATT